GTGGGGTAAGAGCTTCCAGGAGGGTAGAGATTACAATTTTTAACTGATAGAAGGTCTCCCTGGGAAGATGACACGTGAGCTAAGACCTGAAGGAGGTGAGAGCAAGCCACAGGCCTGTCTGTGTTTCAGGCAGAGGGAATGGCAGTGAGGTGGCAGCAAGCCTGGTATGTTCAAGGGGAAGCAAGGAGACCAGTCAGTGAGGCCGGAGTGCAGTGGATAAGAGGAGTGTGGAAGGTGACATCAGAGGGGCAGCAAGGAGGAACTAGATCACGTAGGATCTTACCATCCATTGTGGGAACTTTGGCTTTGACTATGCAGAAAGTAGGAAGCCACTGGAGGTTTTGAGCAGAAGAATATGATCTGAATTATGCGTTATCAAGGTCATTTTGATTATTGTTTAAGAGGAAATCAGTTAGGAGGCTACTGCAAGGCTGTAGTAGAAGCTGGGTTTTTGTTTTGCTTGTTTTGTTTTTGCTTTGAAGGGGTGGGCAGTGTGTGGGGGTGAAGATCAGCAGCTTGCCTTTGGGCATGTTAAATTTAGGATGCCCCATAGACATCCAAGCAGAGCCATCTACAGCCAGTTGGACATCCAAAGTCTATGGTTCCAGGGAGAGGTCTGGGATGGAGTTCTAACTATGGGAGTTGTCAACATAAAGACAGCATTTACAGCCCAGAGAGTGAATGTGGTTAGTAAGGAAGGGAGTGTAGACAGAAAGGGCAAGACATTGAAGAACTAAATCTGGAGTAAATCCAACCTTAAAGATTCAGGTCATGAGGAAGAATCAGCAGAGGAGATTGAGAAGCCGAGGCCAGTGAGGAAGGGGGAAAACCAGGTTCGGGCTCCAGAAGTGAAGAGTCAACAGTGTCAGGTGTTATTGATAGGAAAGTCAGGTGAAGACTGATAATTGATTATATCTAGTGATCCTATTTATTTAGCCTATTAGTTGTGTTTCAGTCTCTCAGCTCACTCCCTCAGAATACACCCAAACTCATTTTTTTTTTTTTGAGGAAGATTAGCCCAGAGGTAACTACTGCCAGTCCTCCTCTTTTTGCTGAGGAAGTCTGGCCCTGAGCTAACATCGTGCCCATCTTCCTTTACTTTATATGTGGGATGCCCACCACAGCATGGCGTGCCAAGCAGTGCCATGTCCGCACCCGGGATCCGAACCGGCAAATCCCGGGCTGCCGAGAAGTGGAACATGTGAACTTAATCGCTGCGCCACTGGGCCGGGCCCCTAAACTCATTTTTTTGCATCCTCCTCCTTCCTCTCAGCCAGCATCTCCACTTCTCTGCCTCTTCTAAGTTCTGTGGATCAATACAACCAAAGGCTCCCATGCTGGCAGTCTAATGCAGAAACCTCTTTATAAAGGGAGGGGAATTAGAAGGAAAGTGAAGGCTGTGCATTTTGATAACTCTATTTTCTAAAATACTTTTTGTGTTTGTTGACTAAAAATAAAACTGTTCAAATGCACTAGCTATCAAAGAAATACAGATTAAAAATAAACTGGCCACCATTTTTTTTGCAAATCAAATTGGCATTTAAAAAAACATATCCCGTATGGGCAAGACTCAGCAGACATTCTCATGTACCACTGGTGGAAGTGTTAATTGGCAAAACTTTTCTACAGGGCAATTTGGCAATATATAAGAATAATTTTTTTAAAGTTCTTTCTTCACACCTTTTGGTCCAGTAATTCTGCTTCTAGCTATTTATTGTAAGAAAATAATCAGAATGCATGCCAAGATTTCTGTAATAGGATGTTCACTTTAGCATTGTTTCTTATAGAATTTAGAATATAGAATTCTATAAAATTATACATTCTTGTAGAATATAGAAACAATACCTTAGTGTTGTTTCTCATTGAGTTTATAGAGTTAAAATAGTAATTAAAACAATTTAATAGCCAACCTTGGAGGTTGAGTCAATAACTTATGAGCTAGCCACAAAAGAAATACTCTGCAGCAAAATGTCTAAAAGATATGAGAACATGTCAACAAGGTATTGTCAAAGTAAAAAAAAACAAGCTAACAAATGGTATTTATGGTACAATTCTAATTTTATAAAGAAGAAGAACAGAAAAATTGGAAAGATATAAATTAAAATCTTAATAGTGATCATTTCCATACATGCTTGAGATTATTGGAGTTTTCACTCATTTAGAAATATTTATTGAGGGCCTACCATGTGGCAGGCACTGTTCTGAGTGTTTGGGATACATTAGTGAAAACTAATGGAATTCTGGCCCTTGGAGTGCTTACATTCTATCAGGAGGGATACAGACAATAAATAATAATAAATAAAGGAATTATATATCTTTTAGGAGGTGATAGATGAAAAACATGGAGCAGAAAAAGTGGGAGTGGTACAGCTGCCATTTTAAATAAGGTGATCAGGTTAGGTCTTATCAAGAAGGTGGCATTTAACAAAGACTCTATGGAGATGAAGGAATTAGCTGCATGAATATTGAGGGAAAAGTATTCCAGACAGGAGGATCAGCAATGCAAAGGCCCTAAGGTGGGAGCAGTTCTGAAATGTCTGAAGCTCAGCAAAGAAGCCTGTGTGGCTGGAGCTGAATGAACATGGTAGTAGGAAATGAGGAACCAGACTGGGTAGAACCTACTGGAAGGTTTGGGAATGCTAGGAATAGGCAGGTTAAGAAACTACTGCAATAATCAAGATGAGAGATGATAGTGTTGGGATCAATGGGGAACACTGAACATAGTGAAAATTGGTTAGATTCTGGATATATTTTGAAAGTAGAATCAACACAATTTTTTTTTTTCTTTTGGTGAGGAAGATTCACCCTGAGCTAACATCTGTGCCACTCTTCCTCTATTTTGCATGTGAGTCACTGCCACAGTGATGACTGGTGTAGGTTTGCACCCAGGAACTAAACTCGGGCCACCGAAGTGGAGTGTGCTGAACTTAACCACTAGGCCTCAGGGCTGGTCCCAACATAATTTCTTGATGGTTTAGATATGAAGGGCAAAGAAAGAGATGCCTTCAAGATTTTGAGCCTGAATGATTGGGAGGAAAAGTTGTCAGCAACTGAGGTGGAAAGATTATAAGTAGAGCAGGTCTGGGATGGAAGTAGGGGAGACTGAGAGTTGAGTTTTGGACGTGGAAAGTCTCTCCAAAGGGAGATGTCCAGGAGGCAGTTGGCTATAGGCAAATATGGCGTTCACAGACATGTCTGAGCTGGAGAGATATGCTTGGGAATCACTAGTATATGGATGGTATTTGAACTATGGGAATGGGTGAGCTCACCAAGGGAGTAACTGTGGACAGAGAAGAGGCTATTCGGGGAACTCCAACATCAAGAGGTTAAGGGGACAAGTGACAACCAGAGGAGGACTGGTTGAGAAAGTGACTAGTGAGGCAGGAAAAAAATCAAAAGAATGTGGGGCAAATGCTCAAATGATGGTAGGTTAAATAAGTGGAGAAGGGAGACTTGATCACTGGATTTAGCAATGTGGACGTCAGGGCACTGATGACCTTGATAAGATGGTTTGGGTAGAATGCCTTGAGAAAAATTGAAGTGGGGAATGGGAGACTATTGAGTAAAGATAAACATTTTGAGGAATTTTGCTGCAAAGAGACTTAGAGCCATGGGTAGTGGCTGACTGGGGATGTGAGGTATAAAAAAGGTTGTATATTTTTTCTTTTTAGTTGGATTAAATAGCAGCATGTTTGTATGCTGATGCGAGCCTCGTCAATCCACTGTGATCATTAATATTCTCATGGTAGTAATATGGCAACAGATGGTACGGTTGGGAGGTCACACAAGGACTGTCTGGACAACCAAACTCTCCCAGTAGTCTGGTCTACTCTGTTACCTGAAATTCCTAACTCTTGAGCCTCTTCATTGACTCAGGAGGTCACCTTTAAAATATAAACATTTAGGGTCAGCACGACCTTACAGAACATATCATAATTAAGGTCTCCTCCACCTCATCACCCCACACACATCAAGAAGCTATTCACCTCCATTGGTAATCCTGTGGCTTGGAGTTTCAGAATTATGGATGGAGCAGAAACCACAAAATCCTATGAATCTGTGGTAGGAAAGCCTATTTTTGCAAGAGAAAATTGGGGAGAAAGAAAAATCTTAGCCCTTTGGCCCCACTCCTCATCAACCTTTGTAACCCAAGAAACCAAAGCACCTCCTGTTTGCTGCCTCTTCACCAAAGGACAGAATTTACAAAGAGAAAACCCAGGAAGGGTTCTGCATTCCTCAGCCAGAACTCAAAGCTTAAATTTTCACATCCATCCTCATCCATCCACCAGCACATGCCTGTGTTCCCTGCTACTCACCTAACGTTCCCACTCGGATCATATCCCTTCTGTTTCTCCCTCCCATGGGTCCAATATCCTTCTCCATCCCTCCTTCTCCTTATAAAAGACAGTTCTCAGGGAAGAATGCCAGAAGGAATGATGGTTTAGAACTAGCAAGAGTTTTGTGTTAGTTCTCATTCTACAAATGAAGAAACCAAGTCTCAAAGGGTAAAGTGAACTGCCCAAAAGCCAACAGACAATTAGCAGCAAAACTCCAAAAAAGATTTGATCAACTAATTTACATGGAGGTGTGTTGATTGATAAGTTCTCTGACAAAGGCACTTTGTAGCAGAAGCCTTAGCCCTGAGCCAAAGGAATGGATGGTGACGGAGGGGGAGGATGTTGTCATTTCAGCAGCAGGGTAGTCTTCTGGAAGTTGGATATTGCCTAAGCAGCTCCCTGATGTGTCTACTCCAGTGGTTCTCAATGGGAGGTGATTTTGCCCCCCATGGGAACATTTGGCAATGTCTGGAGACATTTTTGATTGTCACAACTAGGGGGAAGGTGCTATTGGCATCTAGTAGGTACAGGTCAGGGATGCTGCTAAACAATCTACGGTGCACAGGACAGCCCCCACTCACAATAGATGACCCCAAATGTCAATGGCTTTAGAAACTCTGGTTTCTAAATGGAAAAGGAAGGGAAGAGAAAAGAGAACATTACCAAAAGTTGGCTCTGGAGTAGTGTTCCATGTAGAGCTGTTCGTCAGAAAAGGGGGCCAAGTGGATGTCACTGAATGTCGGGAACATCATTCCTAATAAGCAAAAGACAACAGACCCAAAAGTTGACTCCTATTGCCTTCTAACTGAGGGGTACACTCACCTGCCATGTGGCCAATTCCATTGTTTCATTCTATTTCAGTTATTATACAACAAGCTAAAATATAATTTTGCCTCAAAGCAAGGATAGGAAAATTAGGCAGAAGACCAGAGGGGATATAAAAAAGAACACCAAAGCAAGTCACAAGCTGTGTTATACCGAAAGTTTGTAGGGTCTTAGGGGAGGCATTTAATCTGGCTTATTTGCCTTCTCGGCTACTGGCATTTTTCCTTTCTATATGTCCTGTGCTTGGAACTCTGGGCACTTCCTTTATTTATTTTTTTCCCTCTTATTTATTGTAAAAACAGCTTAGCTTGGAAAATAATCAACACTCCTTCATTGTATCACATTATTATTTTCATTGTTAGACTTTGTCCCTGTGCAATCATATTGACTATTTATCTTTTAAGGTGCTGTTGGAACTTATGCTTATATGCAGGTTCATCATCCTCCACGCTGGGAAGCCCACACTTGCATTTTGTTCCTTACATCTGCAGTCACAAGGAGAAAGGTAGATTCTTTTGTGGGCAAATGAACACCTGGACTGGCATGCCTGAAGTCGGCCTTCCTGAGCAGGTGGACATGGTGATCAGCGTTATTATTCTTGTCATTTTAGGGAAACTCTTTGTCATAGTCATTTATTAAACTGTATATGAAAGAAAGATGAACCATTAACCATATTTCAGAAATGAGGATTGCCTAAGAAATTGGAGATGCTGTCACAAAAAAAATAAGAATACCTAAAATTTCTTGATTATGCTATCTCTGCCATGAACTTTTCAATGGGCTTTCCATGATTAATTTATTGAATCCTTGTAACAATATAAAGTAGGTTCTATTATTATACCCATTTTATAAATGAGAAAGCTAAGAAACAGAAATTTAAGCGATTCAGCCACAATCACAGAGCTAATAAGTGGAAGAGAAAAATCCAGGGAGTTGAATCTCATCCAATAGTTCATGGCCCCATACCTTAACTATGCTCCCGCAATGTCTGCTAAAACAGAACAGATGGTTTTATTTAGGGTATTTTCAGAGGTGGTCAGAGATAAAGCATGATTATAACATCACTCATATGTCCCCAGCTAAATCTTGTGTATTGGGGTCAAAACAATAATGATTGGGCGATGGTTGTTCAATTTCAAGATAGAAGGATATTAAACAATGGTAGAAAAGTAATATGTATCACTATTTGAGTAAACCTGGGAAGTTTCAAAGGAAGATGTTCTGAACCCAAGCCTAATAGGAATTCCAAAGATATCAGATAAAATGGAGGAGAGAAAATCATTCAAGGCTTAAAATATAAGAAAAATTCCAAGAGTTGAAGAAAATGGAGTCTTCTAATTCAACACACTCACTAAATGTCCAGCACAAGAATTTTAAAAGTTTCATGCTAAGAAGACTAGAAATAAAGACAAGACACTAAGAATGTACAGAGGGAAAAACTATGTCACTCTAAAGGATCAGGAGTCAAAATGCCATTGGACTTCTCAACAGCAATATTAGAAACCAGAAACTAAAAAAAAGAAGCCTTAAAATTACTGAGTAAAACTTGTTTTCAAGTTAAAATTCTCTACCCAGCAAAATGATAATACAAGGACTCAAAAAGAGGTAACTTCTCAAGCACCCTCTCTCCAGATGCTATTGGAGAATATTCTTAGGTAAACCAAGAAAGAAGGAGACAAAAAGAATGATGATGGAAAGTCAAAGTATGGTAGCCATGCAATAGGACTGCAGAGCAACCAGTTCAACTGTTGTGGAGGAGGCCAGAGGACTACAGGAGGAAGGCTTGCATAGAATAAATACCCATAGGCACCTATCAGACCTGTTGGAGCAACAAAAAATTTAGCCACGAGTATATCGAAAATTAAGCTAATGAAAAAACAAGGCAATTAACTCCAGGAAAAACAAGAGCTTTCATGAGAAAATACATAATCATATGCACCTACTTTACCACCTGACTCAGCATTGAACAATATTTACAGTTTCATAATAATGTAAAGATTGATTACTGATTCAACCAAATAATGATCTAGGTCCATATTTCCTTAGATTAAATTCTGAAATCCAAAAAGCTCTGCAATGCAACAGATTTCTGTAAGTTTCCAACATCATTTGATGGCAAAACCTGACCTGAACTGACATGAGTCTATTTATAGTCTTTATTTATCTCACTTGGTATCCATATTCGTATGTTTTGTTGCAGAAACACAAAGTGTTTCATTACGGAATGTTGGCTCAGATCCCCCTGGAGACGTTAAGTAATATATGATATATGACTGTATTACCTTTCCAAAGTCCCCCAGATTCTGAATTCTGAAATGTGTCTGGCCCCAAGGGTTTGGATAAAGGATTGAGGAGCTGTATAAATTTACTGAAAGGACGGCAGGAGCGAGGGTGCATCAAGAGGGGAAGGAGCTGTTATGTAGGAGAGCTAACTTCTCAACCAGAGTGACAGGAATAGCAATATGATAATTTTATATAGAAAAATGTAGGTAAATAATAGAAGAAACAGAGACTAGAGTTGAAAGGAATAGGCTTCAGGGAGCAGTCTCAGGATAGGAAGAGGTGTGGCACAGGGTTACTATCTTTCATTAGAAACCTTTTTCTTACTATTTGATCTTGTAAACTATGTCTTATTTTGATGGAAAAGAAAAATAATTAGGAAAAAAATCAATCATCCTTCCCTCAGGAACACACAGGGTAGAAAGCCGATAAAATCAGTCTTCATTTCTACTTGTCTAGTTAAAGATACATAGCCCACTATAAAATTTCATATCCATTCCAAATACCTGGGGAAAAAGGATGCCCAGATATTAAGTCTAAATATTCAGCTTAGAGGGGCTCAATAGATGCATGTTAATTAACTATGTTTAAAATCTCATCATATGAAAGCACTTCCCCATTTGAAAAAGCCCAGAAAAAAATAAAAAATTCTTTCCGGGGGGTATTGAGGAGGAAAGCCAGGAGGCTTCGTTCCTTTGCTTTCATCTCCCACAGTTGAATTTCATCACATGAGGACAAGGTTTCCAAGATCTTCCTGGGCTGTTTGACAATGGGAATGCTAATGAAGTTACTGACATTAGGTACACTTTGCCCAAGTTTATTTACTTATTTTTGCATGAGGTTTTTTTTAAGTGCCTATTCCTGAATCCCTAAATTTTGAAGCATGTAGGAAATTAGAGATGAGCCTCAAGCTTTACTTACATGCATATATTGGTACCTTGGTGTGTACCAGTTGCACTTTTATTCACTATTTTGTCATCATAGGATATCACGGTGGGAAGTCACAACATGGGTAATTTAAAGTAAATGAAATTGGGGTAAGGAGCTGCAATTCTCATGAGAGATGCAACTGTTAAAATTGGCCAGTTACTTTCTACACCTGAATTGAAAAAAAATGTGCTGTTGGAACACATCCACTCTCTCTGGTGAGGAGCGGAAAATAAGTGTATGTGCAGGAGTCCTGAGTGTGGGCTTCAGGGTCAGACAGACCTGGGTTCAAATCCCTGCTCTGTCACTTATTAGAGGCGCGTCCTTGCCAAGTTGCTTTCCTCCATCGTGCCTCAGTTTTCTATAAAGTGGGGATCATAATGGTGCCTCCTGCTAACCCAGATCTCAATCTCGGCACTATTGACGTTTTGGGCTGGATAACTCTTGATGTAGGGCGCTGTCCTGTACACAGAAGGAAGGTTAGCAGCATCCCTGGCCTCTCCCACTTGATACCAGTAGCACCCTCTCCCTCAGTTGTGACAATCCAAAATGTCTCCAGACATTGCCAAACGTCCCCTGTGGAAGGAGTATAAGGTCACCAAGAACCTCAGCACTAACCCTTTGGATAAGTTAAAAAACACTCTCATTCATACTTTGTAAGTTTTTCGTAAATTAATTTATGCAAATTGCTTAGCACATGCAGACACTTGGACAGCATAAAAAGGACATTGGATTTTATATTAATATCTCAATTATATGTAGTGATCATAGGGAAAGAAAGACATACAGTAGGAAAAGAATATATTAGAAAGAATAAGCAGACCCCAGAGAGTTTCTCACATTACAGAAGGCCAATGCTTGAAAGGACTTTAGAGGTTATTTTTAATAATACAGATGAGGAAACCAAAGCCAAGAGGTCAAGTGTTAGGCCAAATTCGTTAAGAAAGAAAGTGATAGAAACCAGACAAAATACAGACCACTGAACTGGTCCTCTACACCATATTGAATACTATGCAGCACACTGGCTTCTGTGTCTTTATGATTGGAGACTAGCTCATTCATTTTCTGGGAGAATAAGATGAGAATATCAAAGAAGTGGCATAATACACATGCTCCCTTCTCCTTTCTGTCCAGGGAAAATGCGGGGAAAGAGGACAGCAACTTTTACAGAGAAGTTAGCCTATTTTTTGAACCAGGAATTGGCCAACTCACCGTTTGCTTTCAGCCATTTTTTGGAATGGAGGTAACTCTCCAACATCCTTTCATTGAACAGCATGTATCCCATCGGCTCAGAAATGATCACATCTACCGCCTCAGGAAGTGAGATTTCTTCAATTTTCCCTGGCAAAACAATGATCTTGTCTGAAAGCTGGTTATCTTTGACTAGCATCTGAAAAAGATAAAATCGGGTACCAGTACTATTGTTATACAACATCTTATGAAAAGTAAGTTTTAAAGGTTAGGGGTTGACAGTGTGATAGGGACCAGAGGGAAGTGACATATTTGTTTCTATAAACACTTTAAAAATATTTTTCTATTGCACTAATATTTCATGCTTACCATAGATAAATTAGAAGATATAGATGTGAAGCAAATAAGAACATCTACAATTATACAAATAATATCTATTAATAGTTCGATGTATACCCTCCAGACTCTTTATACTAACATACACTTAGCTCTGTGTGTGTGTGTGTGGTCTGTGTATGTGTGTGCACAGGTACTTTGGGAAGGATTGTTTTTTATAATGGTTTCAGCTTATTTCCTATTGTTCTACCTGCAATAAAAATGCCAAAAAGCTCTGTAAAATAATCTTGCACAAATTAATGATCCTGATCCTTATTAAATTATCCCTTGATCTTTTGATTCCAAAAATAAATAATACCATGTTCATTAACCTTTCTTTAGAAGTACATTTTATAGTTATGTACTCATTTTTCTTTGATGTTCTCTGTCTCCTATTTAATAACTTTGAACTCTCTTAAAAGAGGGAACTTGAAGAGAAATATATTTATTATATTTCTAATATATTTCTTCTTAATGCCAAATATGACAAGGTGATTGCATTTTTACATTTATGTCTTTCTACTGCCTGAAAAAAATATTTCCTAATAAACATCTTATATGCACCAGCATAAATATATACAGCACATTCCTTTTCAAGCTGTGGTTCCCTGGGACTCTTAGATCTCTGCTCATTGTATTTATTCATAGTCAGAGACTTTCCATTTTGTGTTTGCATAACTTGATTCCTTTCCTCATTCTAAACGCATTATACCATGTATTTGTCATGATTCAGTTGCACCTTCTTGATCTCGGATCATTCCCTCACATGGCGAGGTTATCTTTCATCTTGAATCCTATCTTGTAGGATTCTGCTCACCCACATGTGCCCTATCCTCTTATTAAATGTCTTTTCTACTTATACTTTTTTAAAAAAAGAAATCACGTAATCTCCAGTCTAAGGAAAAACAATGAAGAAAATTTTTATTTGAACGTGTCATCCATTGTCACCATTCCTCCACGTACAACACTCTTGGATTTCCATTCTATCATCATTCCATACATGGAGTCAAGTTCATGGGGTTCTGTGGAGAAAGGCTTAAAGCTTTCAGTGCCCTGCTTTTCTCTGTACATTCTCTTCTCAGGAGAGTCCATTCAGCTGCACAGCTCTAACTATAGCTCCATTGTGGACAACTGTCCGAACAATCTCTAGCTTCGCTCTCTCATCTGAGCTCTAGCCATCACCTGGACATTTCCACCAACGTGCTTTGTCAGCTCCTCAATAACAGCAAGTAAAGAGTTAACCTCAGCTGCTTCTTCAAAACCAACCACTCCCCTAAGTTTCCTTAAAGTCTTTATGTAATCTTGTATTTCTTTGATTCTGTTTTGGTCACTAATACCATAATCCTCAATATCCTGGAGGCATATGTAGCTGCTTCTCAGAAACAATTAGTTACTATGTTTTCTTATTTCTACCTTTCATATATGCCTCATTTCCTCCTTTTCCTTTCTGCCTGCATCAACTTGTCCAGTTCCAAATAGCTTCAAATCTGGAATTTAAAAATAGCATGTAGAGTGGCCAGCCCTGTGGCTGAGTGGTTAAGTTCACGTGCTCCACTTTGGTGGACCAGGGTTTTGCCAGTTTGGATCCTGGGCACAGACCCAGCACCACTCATCAGGCCATGCTGAGGCGGCGTCCCACATAGCACAACCAGAAGGACCTACAACTAGAATATACAACTATGTCCTGGGGGTTTTGGGGAGAAGAAGAAGAAGAAGAGGGAAAAAAAAAGGAATATTGGCAACAGATGTTAGCTCAGGTGCCAATCTTTAAAAAAAAAAAGCACTTATATAATGAAAATAATAATAGTAGTGCCTACTTCATAGGCCTGCTTGAGGCTAAATCAAGATAACCCATGTTAGAGGTTATATAAGTATTAAAATTATTATTACTGTCATATTTGTTTTTTAAAAGATTGGCAGCTGAGCTAACAACTGTTGCCAATCTCTTTTTTTTTCTGCTTTTTCTCCCCAAATCCCCCCAGTATATAGTTGTATATATTTTAGTTGTGGGCCTTCTAGTTATAGTACATGGGACGCTGCCTCAATGTGGCCTGATGAGTGGTCCCATGTCCGCACTTAGGATCTGAACCGGTGAAACCCTGGGCTGCTGCAGCGGAGTGTGCGAACTTAACCACTGGGCCACGGGGCCGGCCCTGTCATATTATTTTAATTAAAGAATAGTGTTTATTAAAAAAGAGAAACACAGGGGCCGGCCCCGTGGCCGAGTGGTTGGGTTTGTGTGCTCCACTTTGGAGGCCCAGGGTTTCGCCAGTTTAGATCCTGGGTGTGGACCAGACAGACCACTCATCAAGCCACGCTGAGGTGGCATCCCACAGAGCAGAGCCAGAAGGACCTGCAACTAGAATATACAACTATGTGCTGGGGCACTGTGGGGAGAAGAAGGAAAACAAAAGAAAGAAAAAAGAAAAAAAATGAGAAATGCAGATGAGTAAAAACATGAAAATAAGAATCACTTGTATTCCCATCATCCAGATATAGGCAGGGTATGTTTCCTAGCAGACATTTGAGTGTATCTCTGTTTACAAAAATACATAATATTCTGTAACATGTTATAATTTATTTTCATGTAATATGTTTTAGATCAGTTTTCTGAATGTTTTCTGAGTACATCATGGCACACATAAAAAAAATAACATACAATAATTGTATGGCACACTAGGGGGAAAAGGAAAGGCTTCCTGCAGTTACAGATATTGAACTGGGGGCTGAGACCACATGAGACCCTGATCAGCTCCCATGGGGGCGAAGGGCATCAAAGCTCAGTCCCTGGCATACTTGCTGGAAAGCTCTGTTTTAGACATCTTTCCATGAACGGTTATGGAACATAATTTTTATTGGCTTTATAGTATTTCACAGATGTACCCTGATTAATTTAACCAACCCCATGTTATTGAACATTCACGCTATATCAAATTTTCATTACTACAATAGTGTCTTGATAAATAAAAACACAATTAGATCTGGGGACATACTTCCCACTACTTCCTTCCAAGTTAAAGGGTATGGGACTTTTAAAGGTTTCTGATCCACACTGCTCCATTACCTTCCAGAAAGGTGATTCCATTTTTAAATTTCAAGCCCTTCCGAAATTCTGCTTATAGGGTGTGAGGTTGTCGCCACAACCTCAGTGTATAAAATTGCCTCATCACCTTGGACCAGGATGTTGGAAGGGAGATTTTCTGTCTAAGTTTTACTGGAGGGACCAATATGATAGGATATCCTAATAAATGTGATATATACTCTATTTGGAGAATTTACAGAGAACCATCCTAGACTCTTGAACACTCAGGAAGATCAGAGATATAATAAGGCTTCAGAGAGAGGATTTTATGAGCTGTCAGAAGGGCAATTTTGAGCTCACAGGAAGGAATTTTGAGTCTCATTATTCTCATTGGTAAAGAAGGACATATTACATACATGGTAGTGAGAAAACAGGCCTGCCTGCGGGTCACTGCATCTTGTGACTTCATTTATTTTTGAGCAGATTCAAAGAATACTAGATCAGGAATCTGAACGTATGGATTCTAGTCCCGCCTTTACCACCAAAGGGCTATGTGACCTTGGAGAAGTCACTTAAACCCTCTAAATTTCAGTTTCCCTCCTTGCACAGAGTTTTAAACCAGAGTTGTTCTAACGCTCCTTCTAGATCTAACACTTTATGATTAGAAGGCAGCAAATATTTCCCCAAGTATGTCCCAAAAACCCAGGAACATAAAGGCTCCATGATCAAATAGTTTTGGAACTTCTTTATAATATATATCCCTCTTACAAATTCACAGAGTCCATTAGCATATTAATGGCTTTGAGGAATCCTGCAGAAAAGAAAACTGTTTGGCTTGGTTAAAGCAAAGACATTCAAACTTATTTGAATACTTGGCAGGTTTTTTTTTTCACTGAACATTTATTTATCTCCCACAGATCAATCTTTGGGAAACAACAAAAATAGTTATTTGATAATCCTAGGTTTGAATACAATTCCTTGACAAAGATATTTGAAAATAGGATGTAAACTCAACCAATAATAGCTCTAAGACACAAGAGCAGCTAATTCCAGATGTAAGACACACTCCACTCTTTGAGTCAGTCTTGCTGCTTTCCTTCATCTTCGGTCTACAACATTCTCAGTACAGATAATTAATTCTATGCTAGCCTGACACATCACGTACCATTCTTCCAAAACTGAAACTCAGTAGAACTATCCCTTTCTGGAAAAAATGAATTTTAGTATGTCCCTCCGAGTGCTGGGAAAGGACCCTCACCCAGAGGAAGGCTCCGCCATCCGCCATATTCATTGCTGCACACGTTTTCCCTGCGTGACTTGGTCCTTCTTTAAGAGTTCAGGATAGAAGGAGATTCCAAATAAAAACTCTTCTCTCCAGATACCATAAAGGTACAGGTAAACCCACATCATATCCTTGTTTCAATCCTGCTTCCTTGTTATTACATTGGGTTTCAAAAGCCTGTGTCAATTGTCTGTCACTTGTATCAGTTACTTAAAATACACACACGCTCAGGTTGCAGAGGTAGAATTCATCCTTTTAGTATCAAAGTAACTTCCAAGATAGATCAGGTGCACTGCCTGGTACATAATTTCATCTGGGACGCTGCTGTTCTTCTCTCATTTGGGAGGTTTTTCAATATGTGTTGTTTATTTATGCCTGTTCAGTTTGGAAGCTGAACTAATTAAGACTAATTAGTCTTAGGAGCTATAATACACAACACAGCACTTCGTTATATCTGTCTCAAAGCAGTGGCAAGAGCAAGAGTTTGGGAGGTGAAAGACTTGGGTGCTAGTCTTGGATC